CCGGAAGCCCCGTCCCCCGCCCCCCCCTCTAACTTTACCTCAGCGGCTTTTGCCTGCCTTGCCTTCCCTCCCCCCCTTTCCCTGTTCTTGGCCGCCGCCGCCGCGTTCAGCGAGCGCGCTCCCGAGGCCTAGCCGGCGCGTGCGCGGGAAGGACCTGGAGAAGGTTTCCGTTTCTTCCACAGGGGCCGCGGGCTTCGCCGCCGTTCCTGAGGTTCCCGGGAAGCCCTGCCCACGCACGATGCGCGTGACCAAGCCGCCTCTCGGGCGCGAGCGCAGGCGCTTTTCTTTTCCTTCGTGTGTGTGTGCGTATGTCTGTGTGTGTATTGCCTTTCCCCTCCCCTTGGAAGCTGGAAAGAGGCGGAGAACGGGTATTGAGGGAAGGAGGGGGGGGCGGAGGCGGCTCCTAGTCTCCGCCTCAGCTTCTGGGATTTAACTGAGTGGAGAAATTGATCGCGAAACATTTTGGGACGCCGCAGTTTGCACACACAGTCGCGTTCCTTGGAAACCTGCGATGACATCAGTAGATCTGTGTAGTGGGCGAAGGGGGGGGGAACCTCAGCACGTCCACAGTTTCCCACCCTGACAAGATTTGTACGCATAAAGTGAGAATATCCAAACACATTATTCTGCAAAAATAGTTAAAACGCCGCTTGCTCAAAAATTAGTGATCTTCAGTGTTTAGGTATTGCATTTGTAACGTACCCTGGCTTCCAGCGACACAGCCCCCTGAAGTAAGCTTGACAGAGAGAAAAATGACTTGCCCAAGGCTATCTGAGAAGCTTTATCGCTAAATGGAGTGATGGTGGTGGTGATTATTGAGGCTTCCCATTTAAAGTTAAAAAGGGATGGCTACTGATTTGGGGGAGGGGTGGACTCTGAATAAAGCCCTTTGATGGCTTCCTTCCTCTGCAGGTGGGCTTGTCAGTGCTAAAAAGGGGAACCAGGGACAGTCAGTCACCATGCATGTAGAGTGGTGGAGTGACTGTCAAGAAACTAACCCAGAAAGCCCAATGTTGGTACAGTACTTTGATCCTTACTAATAAACTGAACAAGAAGTAGATTCCACTGATCTCAACTACAGTGAGTATAATCCGTTCAGTAGTATCTTTGTTGCAGTGTAAGCTTATAGAGTGAGCTTGTTTATAGAGTAACACAAGCCTTTCACTTTGGGCATGAACCCAACCTGACATTCCAAACCCAATATTCTAGGCATCTTACTTTTGCTCCTTCAATTTGTGATCATGATGATCAAAATAGAGATATGCTTCAGATTCAGGATTTAATGAAGCACAGCAGAGGTGTTTATCTATTTCCAAATCAATCTGAAGCAAAGTGAGGGAGCCCAAATTGTGTTAAATTGAATTGGGACCCTCCAAACACACCTGATTTTGGTTTGGTGCTTCAGAGGTTAAAAAAAATTAATAATCCAGAGCAACAGCTTTCCTTTCAGGGGATCCGGGGTGGCTCTCTTCTAGTGCTAAAGCCAATGAAGGATACATTTCTGGAAAGGCAGGAGCTAAGCAAGGAATTCATCGGACAGGTCACATGAAAGAGGAAGAGGAAGGGGGAAGAGAGAGAGAAAGAGAATGTGTGGGGGGAGTTTCACCTGCTCACTAGAGGTTGAGCAGTGCTTGATGGCACTGAGTTACACACGCACACATCCCCATCCCAGGTCAGAGCCCTTAATTTTCACTTTTCATTCCGTTTCACTATTGGGAGAATATAAGTCTATAGAAATGCTTTAGAATATTTAGAAACAAATCAAATAGAGTAGCCAAAAAGCCTGCATGAAGTGAATCCATTGTAATCTGTATGACAAATAATTCAGACCAAATAGAAGTGGATTGTATCTGCACAACTCTGATTTTTTTAAAAAATGATAGGGCAAAGTATAGGGCAAATCATACAGGCATCAGTCTGCACATTAAAGTCCTTTTCTGAATGATCCAGAAAAATATATACTTTTAGAATTTTATTTTTAACACAACTGTCCCACATTTGTGGATCTCATAGATTAGCTGTTCCTCCCAGGTGGGAAATCTTGCACAACTGGCAAATTATGTCCTCGAACCTAATGGTGTTTGTATGCAAAATTAGCTTCTGAAAACTATATAATTTATTTACACATAGCATAGAAAATATTCAAAAGCTCTCAATGATTAAAACTGTTTTATAGGCAATGCAATGACTTTTTATGCAGCTGTTTTAGACACTCAGACACAATCTGTCATTGCCCAAATCAAAAGCACATTGTGGACCCAGTCAGAGAAGTTTTCTTTCCCCAAAGGGGAAGAAGTCTAGTCCCTTCGGACCTCACAAGTCACATATGATTTAAGTCCACCTATTTCAATGGTAGATAGATTGCAGTCCTATAGACACAGGCCAAATCCAGTACTGTAGTAAGTTGCAGTTATAGTAGACGCATTGAATTAGTGGACATTTGGTGAGCCAATCCCTATGTGTGTTCTACTGATTCAATGAGCCTTACTTTAGTGGCAATTTACTACTGGATTTCAGCCAATGGGAGTATGACCTTCTATATCAAATTGGTGTCATTTCTAAGTTGACAGATACAGGTATGCACTGTAAAGCACATGCATAATTTAATAATTCAACAAGGCTTCAGGGTCCTTAATTTTGAATAGACGGTGCCCTCTATCTGTGAGAATATTTCAGATGTTTGATATTCTATTTTGTGAATAGAATAATTTTATCTTTTCTATTCTTGCAAGCTGTAGCATGAAGAGCTGAAAGACTAAAGGGAAGTTTGTACAATATGGAGTGGCATTTCATTAGTGTAAGGGGCAATGCTAGAAAGAGAAACTGGCAGCCAACCCTGCCCTTTCTGTGTTTAAACTGAAACACTTTATATAAGCACTGAATCAGAACAACAAGCTTTCACCAAATTCAGTAAAATAGAAAACTAGAGTTTTGCTGTTTGTCTACCAAAATGGCAGTGCTAAAGAATAAGAGCAAGTAGCCCTTCTTGTTGTTCTTTCTCTAAAGTCTTCCTGGGTGGTGGTGGTTTAATTTAACATACACATACCCCGCACCTGAAGACAAATTTGGAACGGCCAAGCATTTTCTCTTTTCAGATTGTCAGGAGGAAGATTAGAATATAGACATACCTTCATATGTTAGAAAGAAGCATTTCTCTCCCATGCATCCCCATTTTTCCAGTTCTTAGATACTCAAAAAATGTTCATATTACCCATTAGCCCAAATCCTCCCAAAGTGATTTACAAAGATCAATAACATGATAATCTTTGCCTTCAGATTTAAAATTTAAGACATCTTGCATAAGGAGGAAGGGAAGAGAAAACACAAACTTGGGCTCTTAAATTTATTCTGTTTATTAGCAATATAACCAATAACTATTTAGGATAGCCTAAAAAAATAGCTGCTTCTAACTGGCAAGGGTGAGAGAAAGGCAAACAGCATCTTAGCAAAGCTGATAACATAGTCCTACTCTCTTGTCCCTTTGTTTTGCTGCCCACTGGAATGGCTTTATGTATAATAACAATTCAGTGCTAGTTATATTTAGATACTAATTAATAGAAGTTACCACTCAGGTGCTAGCTACTTGCAATTTATGCCTTTGCCCAATAATGAAGATAAAAATGCATTCCAATTTAAGTGAAAATTAATGTTCACTCCTTTTGAAGTATAGTAGTCACTTTTTATACTTAAAGAGTTGAAATTTCACTAAATGGTGGAGCAGATTATGGCTGAAATCCTATTATACAGTGTAATAAGTCACAGTAGAGTAGGCCTGTTCAGTCAGTGTGAATTTGGTGAGTCAACACCTATGTAAGTTCAACTGACTCAAAAGGATGTACTCTAGTTGTGACTTACTTTATTAAAATCCAGTAATAAGTCACAATTAGAATAAACTCAGTGGAACCTACATATGTTGACCCATCAGATCCACAATGCTTCGGTGGTCCTACCCTAATTGAGCAATTCAAATGCTGTTCCTTAAGCAGCTACCTGCTTTTGTGGGTGTTGAAGTGACTAAGTGGACAGAGGAGTGTTTGTTATATACCACAGGATTATAGGATTCCTATATGCTTTTTAACGTAAGGAAAAAGTTGAAACTTCATTCACATTTGTGAGAAATTGAAATACAGTTACACATTTACACAGGATATTATTGATTAACTACATTTTGAGTGCTTGAATTATGACTCACAACTTTTTAAAAGTAACTTTTCAAGCTCTGGATGCAGCAAACTTCAACTTAGCATTGATTTAAATGTGCATAATAGATATGGGGTGGCCTTTAGTAGCTCGTAACCAGAGTGGGGGAGGACTCCCCCAAAAAGAAGATTGGTGTTCTCCTGTCCATTTTGTCCATGACCAGCTCATAATATAGCTCTTCTTAGATTGCTGGTGTAGTTCATATATTTGAATATATTGCTATGTATAATATAGTACACATGGGAAGCTAACATGTCATAGAAAAGGTTTAAACCTAGCTTTCCATCACTTTTCTTGTATTGATTCTAAGGAAACAGGTTATCACACTCCAGCTGGCATATAGAAAGAGTGCATGCCACTAGAAATTTCAGTATCCTAATGATGCATGTGTTGTCCCAAGATAACCTCCATGAAAACCCATGCCATGAAAATCCTAGGAAAAAATACAGCATTTTAAAAACATTTGGACAACAACTGGAAAAAGCTGCAAGGCCACAATGGGTGTGCTTTGTTTTAAGAGCAATCAGGGCAGTGATAGATGTTTGCCTTCCTTCACTCAGTTTTGGATTTCCCGTTCAACATTTGTACAGTATTTCTCTTTTCAGTGCCTACTGCAGCCTAAAGGGAAACAAGGGAAGTGTCAATTTAGTTTGATAGCAAAAAGCAGCAAGATATACAGTAACACAAAATGTGATGAGGAGAAGACACACAATGCAACTCAACAGATTACAATGGGGTTAAATGTGTTCTCAGGAGCCCCACACTCTTTGACACAATGAGGCATGCAAGAGTCTGAACACTGTACTCTTCACTAGACTAGAAAGAACTGTTTTCTACATCCTTTATTCCAATGTATGAATTAGCTCATACAGGCAGAGTGGTAATTAGACATTTCCAAAGAATCCTATGTAGATCACTGCATTTAAACCTATTATGCAAGATTAACCATATCAAGTTGCTTCTGTATTTCTGCCCAGGAGAGGTCTGCTTGCATTGGAGGAAGGGGCAGGGAGATAATTTCTGTTGGTTTATCTTACTTGACAATTGCTGAGTTACAGCCAGTCTTTTCAGAGATAGGGACTTACCATTCTTTCAGTTCCAGTACGCATGTGTGCATTCATTCATATTTT